AGCTATGTAGCTGTGGTTTTCAAGCTAAATTCAAGGTGGCCTGAGACCACGGTTTACTGCCCTGAAACACTCTGTTCAGGCCACCTTGAAAAGAAAGGTGTAGTTGGCACCTTGCTTGCAGCTACCAGGTATAGTACTTCAAGTTCCCTTTCCGTCAACCGCTCGATAGCCTCTACACACGCACAGCAATCCACAGCTTTGAAGTCTCATTCGTGCTTTGAACTTGTGTAGGTGTGTAAGAGGTCTCACGGCCGCCTCCACCTGGCAAATGCCAAGCGGAGCTGCCGTAGAGAAATGAAAGAAAATGGAGTGGGATGGTGGAGCTAGGGTGCAGACCTACCTTTCTATCCTATGCTTCGACGCGCAGTTCTCGAGAAAGGGAAGCGCTGGCTTTCGTTTTGCAGCTTCTCAGGTAGTATGTTGCTATACCTCTTACACACCTGACGGAAAGGGAACTTGAAGTACTATACCTGGTAGCTGCACTATAGCTACCCTAGGTCTCTCTACCTTGCAAGGTGCCAACTACACCTTTCCATTCAGATGATGCAAATGATGCATTTGGCATTTCTTGCATCACCACCCCTCAAAAATCACCTCCAACACAACCTCAAAAAACCTTCCCTCGGAGCACCCTCCTCCCCCAGCATGTGCTGAGTTGACGTGCCCCTTTCTCGGGCCACCCCCCCCAGACCCCCTAACTACTCACTTCGTTCGCCAGACACAACTCCGCTAGCGCCTTCTACGAAGGCTGGCTTTCGTAACCTGTGTCTTTGCAAATGCTGTTTCAAACCCTCTATGGTGCTTCTATTCACACCCGGGACAGCCAGACCTTTTTTTTGCTCAAAATTTGCCGAGGCACCCTTGGCGGTCCAAAGGGAAATGGCCACAGCACACGCAAAGGTATCCTGAGCCGCCAGGTCTGCCCTGTTCAATTCTCACGTTATGTTGTTCCCATTTGCTGATGGTTGTGAGGCAGGCAGGTGTCCTGTGCTCAGTTGCAGCAGTGGTTCTTCGTCTTCTAGTTGCTTCAGTCCAACCGGGCTGGCAGTTCCCCAAGGAACTGTGCTGGAGATGAAAACTGTCCAGCATCTCCCCTTGTCGTCCACACAACTAGCCTACACGATGCGAAAGCTGTGTCTGGCCTGACCAGCTTGAGCTTAGACAGCTTACATTGGAGTCCTAGGGCTATGGAACCACCTACTGGTCAGAACATATCGAGTTCATGGCTCAGGAACCTTCATCCGGGTGACCGTAGCTACTCCGCCCCGACAGGTGTCGCGAAACAACGCGAAAAACAACAAAGAAACTGAGCCTCTCGCGCTTCACCAAGCCTCGATGGAGACTGAACCTGATATCAGAATGAGTCCCTTCACCATGTCCACCCGACCAGTCCGTTCCAGGTAGGTCGTGGTGCCATCGATCGTAGAAAAACGCTGGTGCCATGACAGCTAGAGTCTAAAGGTTGAGAACATCAGGAAACGGGCTTTCAAATGTGTCAGAGAGATTTGTCTTTTTGCATTGCTTGAATCAAATGGATTGAAATGCTATTCAACATTGTTGACGCAAAGGTGGTTGATGATGGCCCCTCCCATCAAGCCTCCTACTACTACTACTACTCCTACTCCCACTCCTACTCTTACTCCTACTCCTCTCCTACTCCTCCTGCTGCTGCTACTACAACAACAACCACAACTACGACGACGACTACTACTACCACAACAACAACCACCAACCACCAACCACAACAAAAAAAACAACTCGTAGCCACTGTCCGAATAACATGAAACACAGTTCCTCAGTTCCTTTATTCCAAAACTTTGTCTGCGCTTGGCCTAGTCACGTCATCGTTCTCAGCCTCACGTCATGCTTTTCTCTTTCACAAAACAAGGTTTCTCCATGGTTCTGAGTGAATTGGCAGCTACAAACACATCAAAACCACAAATGCACAGTAGCTGTCAGCCCTGCCCCGTCTCATGGACCCCTTTATACCGATGTTGTACGGTCTGCCCATACTGAACGATGGATGTCTTTCACGCACCGCCATGTGTACCCCAACCCCAGGGCGAAACAGAATCAACGACTTCTCTTCCGTAGATGCCATGTGTGAGGTGCATATGACTGACATGACAGCCACATGACTGACCTTTCGCGCAGCTTGCCTCTGAAACAACAGGGCCAGTCTCCTCCTGCCTGTGCGTTCCAACTGAGGCTCTCTGGGGCTCCAGCTGCAATCTGCCAAGGTAGTATGCTTCATACCTGATCACTCAAATGATCTGGGCAATAGCCAGAATGCAGGGACATGATGAGAATAGTCGAACAAATCACAGTGGCCTGTGGCCTAGCCCCCCCAAATCTGCAGTGTGATGTTGATCGAAAAAGGCAGCTGAACAAAATCCCGCAACCTCTTGCATGTCCTGCACTAGGCAAACACCTAGTCATCTTGGGTTTGATGATCGTTTGATGTCCATCTTTCTTGCAACCGAATTCAACTGAAGATGTCTTTTCTCTTGGTCCACGCCTCCTCTTTTTCTGAGCACGTGGCATACCCCTAGAAGTCCAAGACTTGGCACCCCCCAAAGTAGAGGAAATTCCTTTAGTCAGGCCACCGGAACAAGTCAGCCGTTGTTCAAACAAAGAGTCGCCTGGACTCTCCAGGAATGTAGACTGTTGATTCTCCTTCAACCCTCAGGCCTCCTTTTCTAAGGTTCTCCATGTCTGGGAAAGTGTCTTTCTTTTTTCCCTCCCAAAACCAAGCAGAAGCCACCGCCTCCAGGCCCTTTTCCATGGTGTCCATCCCTACTACAGTCAACTGGTAATGCTGGGGGTCCCTTGCGCCGATCGTGACGCGTGGCGCGGTCGTCAAGGGGGTCGTCCGTAAAGCGCACGTCTTGGCCCAGGCCACCAGGCCGCTCGTGTCGCGGTCCAGCCTGGGGGATGCGAAGCGGAAGCGGAAGCGAAAGCGGAAGCGAAAGCGGAAGCGAAAGCGGAAGGATGTGAGATTGATCAGAAGGATGGATGAGATATGGAGTGGGTGGTAACACGATAGATGGTTGATCTTAGAAGAGATTGCTTTAGGATGAGATATGGAGAGCTCAAATTCTAGTGCCTGACCTCCTGTTCGACCCTGTTCTGGATTTGCTTGTTCTGTGATTCTGAATGGTGCCGTATCATCACGTGTCCAAGGAGAATGGAAAGGAGGGTGTGGTTTTAGTCTCTGTCTTCCACAGCTTAACGTTGAGCTTTGTCGCACGCAGGTTTGGCGTCCCTTTCTGACATGAACGCAGCCTGAGATCAGCACCGGTGAAGCAAACCATGCCTAAAGCGTTGCCGCTGCTCTGGGGTCGTGGGTTTGGGGTACGCTACCGGTGATGAAGGCGAAGACACTGAAGACATGAAAAAAGAAAACATTGTAATAAACGGAGATCTTTCTCTGCAGTTTGTTTACACTTGTCATGTAAACAGGACTGCTGTATAGTAGATGCTAGTATCTATGCACCAATCAACTAATTGTGGAGCATGGTGCACTTTTGTCATGATCCTGATCCGGACAACGAACCACCAGTTCCCCTGACACATCACTCCCAAAAGACTCCTCTATCCTCTTACACTCTGACCGACTCACATGGAAGTGGGAAAAACCATGAAAAACACCTTCTTGGCATAGGAAAGTGGCTAAAGGGACCCTTTTCCACTTCCATCTGTTTGACGAGAGGAGGCTCGTCCGCGCTTTCCACTCGGCCGAGTTGCTGCAGATCTGCCGCATGAGCCTCGGTCGAGAGGTCGGTCGGACTGCCGGGAGACCAATCGGGGGAGGTGCGTCTTGCGGTGTACGTATTTTTTTGGGGGGGAGGACACCCCCTCATTGGCACCCCTTCGGGGTCTCCTGGTAGAGCGCTGTTAGTGCCTGCTTTTGGGGCTCGCTTGGTGTGCTTCGGTGATCGGACCAGGCCCCCCGGGCGATCGGAAAGCTTCGACCTTGGACGAAGGTCGCAAACCAGGCCAACGCGACGCACAGTGATCCCACTTGGTCCAGGTTTAAACACTGCCAAACGACCACCTGCCGGCCCTGAAATCTTTAAAAGCCACTACTTGTTCTGCAATTGTATTGGCATCAACGGCATCGAATGAGAGAAAACTCCTTGCTACAAGCGGCTAGATAGGAGGTTTCAGCAGGTTAGCAGGCTTCCTGCTCAAGAATTGCAAAACATGCTTGCCAAAGTTCCAAGCGCCGGAACGGAACCACATGTTAGTTTCAATTTGCATTTTGCCGCTTGTCTTCCCTCTCAAGAGCCATGAACACATCTTTTGGTCTAATCATGTCTAATAACAGTATTCAATTTATCCCCCCCCAAAAAAAAAATAAAGTGTTGCATTTACAGTTGCACTGCCCCTGCCGAGCTGCCCCAGTGCTCCGCCAGCCAGATCTCCAAGCGATGCTCTTCTCTCTCGACTTCATCAGCTCCTGTCGAAATCAACGAGAAAAGCCTGGAGGACTGTGGTGCAGGAACTCCGTGACCCCAGCAACTCAAGTGATGATAAGTGACCAGGGGTGATGATAAGTGATCAGGGGTGGTGAATGGACAAATATCACTTGAGCGTTGTTCAAAGCCACAGAAGGCTTCTTGTTACTACCAGTAAGGCACTTGTTACTACTAGTAAGCACTCGTTTCTAATAGCTTCTTGTTACTACTGTAAGGCACCTGTTACTACTGGTAAGGCACTTGTTTCAATCTAACTCTTCCAGCACACGGCTCCGGCACACGGCTCCTTGCCGCTCTTTTCCCACACTCATCGACCAGCCTGTCGAAGGCGAGTTCATCGCCCGAGTTCCACCGATGGGGAACGCTCTTCGCGTCTCACCGAGCTCCACCGGGGAACGAGGGGCGAAACGAACTGCAAGGAATGGCCATGGGTTCCATGAGGTGTTCCTACTATCCTACTCCTGTGCAAGTATTACTTTCATGGTGCGGTTCAGTTAAGCGCGCGCAGGCCACTCATTCTGAATGAAGGCATGCAGGCATGAATGCATGTCGAAATCCCGTCGAAAGTGGTCGGGAGCGATTTTGCGGGGGGGGGGGGGCTCGACTCTTGCGGCTGAAATGTGTTCCCTAGGGCTCCAGAAGGTGGTCGGGTGAGTGCCAGATGGTGCCAGGAAGGTGTAACCACCGAACCTGAGGATATGGTTGGAGCCCTAGGGCTTTTTCGTTGGGGTCGTTCAGGATGGCCTGTTCGTGACGAAGAATCATTTATGATCTGTGCTTTGACCGTGGACAAAATAGGGACACAAGGAGTACAAATTCAATGATCCCTGACCGGTGATAGGTTGGAATCTTCTGAATTTGACAGTTGGAATTGCAAAATCCTAGTCTTGTGTGCTGCCCCTCACACTTGCACACTCCAAGCTTCAGATGAACACTCAAATTTGCTAGACCTTGTTGAATGGCCCAGGCAATGATTCCTTTTGGAAATAATAGAGGGGTCGATTTAGTACTATGCCTAGTGGTTGCCCACTTGGGGGCATACTAATCAACCAACCAAAAGTAACATGGCCCTCTATGGACCCAAGGGCCATCAAACTCCTCAATAAGCCTTATTCCTTCATGTCTTTTTCGCATGGTGCTGCTCTCTGACTCCTGGGTAGTGGTGAGACCACCCAGCCTCCATCATTCCCACAAAAAACTGTTTTTGATTACTAGCATCTTTTATTTATGATGGTATATGATGCTATTATATAGCAGGTAATTAGTTCTGTATAGCCGCACTTGAAGCGCCACATCCTAGCTCCTGAAACTTCGTCTGAAGGACCATGGTGGCTGCCTATTCACGTGACTTACACTCCCGAAAACTAACATAGACCCTGGCAATGGCCCCCTGGAAGAGTGTTTGCCTCTACCAACCAGTGGTTTTCAGGGTCTATGTTAGTTTTCCATGGTGTAGCTTGTGTTCCAACTGGCCAAGCACGTGCACAGAAACGTTCTCCTCAACCGGGTGTTCATGGATGCCCTTCAAAAAAACACATGATCATACATTACACACATGACCGTCCCCAAATATATATATATATTATACACATATATATATAATATAGATAGAAATGATATCCAAGCCTTGGTCTATAAAAAAGGAGGTGTTTTCTTTTCTCTGATTATCACTTTTCTATGGTTTGTACTGCTTAAGCATCACATGCCCCTTCTGCCCGAGCTCCAGAAGAAACACAAAAGTCACGCGCCCGCCTAGGAACATTTGTGGGAATAACCAAGCATTGGAACGATCCCTGATTGGTCAGCTCCGATGCTGGGGTCCTGGTCTGACCGCTTTTCTATTCTGTGGTGGACCAGTGTACTACTATATAGCCATGTGAATCTCGTATGTTGGTATAATAGGGTCTACTAGGTCCTATCGCCCAAACAGAACATCCCATCAGAAAAGACATTCAGGACTTCGTTCTCGACCACCGCCTCTGGGCTTCCAAAAGAAGATCATGTCTTGGTTCTCGACCACTGCATGAGGCTCACCCTCGGGCCGGCCCGTGTCTCGGAAGAAAAGGCTGGGAGGGTTAGTGAGCTGATAATTCAGAACATGAGTCTAAGCTCACACACAAAAAGGCATAGAATCATAGAAACAAGCATAGGTAGCGGACGGTAACGGTATGTCGACTGGCTTGTGCTATGGACATGGCAGGGTCTAAATTCCAAGCATACACATGTGCCTGGCCTAGCCCATCTTAGCCGATGGGAACCTACTCTTGGAGACCATTGGCATAAAAATCTACAAGGGGTCCGGTCAATGACATGGTTTCGAGCCGACAAGGTGTCCAGCAAAACTCCCTTGAACTAACAGCTCCTTTTGGCCAGCATTGGCCAGAAGTGACAACCTAGGCCCGGTCCGGCCCAGTCTGGCACTGAATCTACGACAGGTCTGGCATAGGATCCTGGATCCCAACCATCCTGGATCCTGACGAATTAAGACCAGTGGCCCAGATCAGATCAATCGCCAAGTTGTGGTTCGGTGGGCAACACGAATCCGTCAACCGACCAGCACGTGGGTTTGGGTGAAGCTGAGTTCAAGGAGCCATCCCGGGATGGCCATGCAATACACGTACAATTGGTTGACCGCTGGTGAATCCAACCCCCCCCATTATCCCCATTGAAGTCGTAATTAAGAGGTTTTACACTGTACTCTACATTGGTTAAGGGGTTATGATTATGAATCAAGGTTCTTCATAAACATTCATGAGGCTAGCTCATGGTGTACTTCCAGCCCTGCCCGCATTTCCCGGGCCATCCCGGGCCCCATGGCTGGGCCGGTGCTCTCCCCATCCTCGCTCAACGGCTCAGACCTGCACCGGTGGAGCTTGGAATGTGGGATGAGTTGGGTCTGCTCAGGTGCACTCGCCTAAAGAAGTCGAATCACCCCAACGAACACATCACATGGAAGTCAGGGGAAACCACCCTGTTGGTGTGTCATTTTCTCTTTCCATGTGATGTGTTCGTCGGAGGGTATAAGCTATGGCCATAGGCACCACAAATTGGCAACTAACTATAGGCATGATGTGGTGTCATTGTGCTTTGTGGCAGGACATTTGTCAGCTGAGATTAAAGTTCGAACAGATTTGCCACAAAAGAAGAAGACACATATGGATCTATGAACCAGATTGGTTCCAATGTCAAATGTCAAACCCAGATTGGTTCCAATGTCAGCTTGAATATCATGAACCAATTTGGATCGGGTTTCACACGCCTACTGCCATGGAAACGCACCTGCACCGAGACCGGTCAGTTTAGTCGTCTGACCGCCTCTTCGGCGCTTTTCAGACACCTTGCTCTGACTCAATGGAACCAATAATAAGGGCTTACATTCCCTTACACTCTCACCATCTCTGACCTAAGGGCGAAGTGGATGGCATAGGCCCTGGGAAGACCATTTCGCTGAACAGTGGGCTTTCCACATTTCCACCTCGGAACGTGAGTAGGATTGTATTCTCTACCACTCAGCTGAAGCGATTTTGGGCCGTTCTAGAACCGCCGATCCAGAACGTCACGACACGTTAGTTTTCAATTGGCTGATGCAAAAAAAAACCAACAAAAAGAAACAGTTGGACATAGTTGGACTTTTGGGGGGGCGCAAAACGGTGCAAAACGTCTATTGCTCTGCTCTGCTTCCAGAGGCCCGCATGGAACCTGACAATGGACCTTTGAAGTTCCATGCTAATCTTCGATGCTGTAATATTACCATATATTACCTGTATATTTGAGTATATACTTGATGATCGTTCTCCCTCTGTCTTCCACCCACTCCTTTGCAGGCCGGTGCCGAGGGTCCGTCCCGTGCCTTGCTACACTTGGGATCCTTTCATCTTCGGCCTCCGTTCTTTTGGCTCGAAGAGATGAGCCACCAGACTCTTGGCCCAACAATCCCAGTAAAACGTGGGGGTTGAGTGATTTTGTCGCCAAACATTCACATGGTCCACGGAATTTGAACAAGAAGCTATCAAGAAGCTCTTGTAATCATGAATCATGCATGTACCTGAGAGAATCTGAGATACACAAGGTTTGGGACTCACAAACAGCACCTTGGTGGAGGATTATGGGGGTGAACACAGGTGAACCAGGTCTGTCTCAGGTCGTGGCAAATTTAACTATGCCTTTCACAAAGCCTGGGCAGGCTGAATGAGAAAAGGAAAGGATAGAAAAGGCACATCGAATCTGAAACATCTGAAACATGGAGCCATCGTGAAACATGTTGAAACCCTTTCCCATCTGTTTCTTGGCCTCAGCGTTCGATGTTCCTAGCTTCGGAGAGCAGATTTGCTGGCTCGGGGTGGCCTCCCGAACGCTTGCCAGCTGTCTCAGTAGATCTTCTCCATGGCCTGCCCAAATCGTGAGGACAAGGAGCTTGGCGGGGCCAAGAACAATATCGACCGTATGTCCCAAACAGCACAGGACCTCTGGAACCCCCGGTCTTCCGGTCATTGCTCCAGGGGACACGGCCATCGTCCGAGGTCTCTTTTCCTCCGGCCGACGCAGAATTTCATCCTCCGAACCGCGAGCCGCGGACGGAGCCTAGCCTGTTGGGGATGAGTGTGCAAAGCCGCTGGATGTTCAATTCAGTACGGCCTCCCAAAACGTTTCTTGTGTTGGATCCTTGGGGACGGCTCTGGACTCATCGGATCATAAAAGCCATGAAAACGCCATCGCTGACAGCTCAGGGATGGTGCCTGGACACGCAACTCTTAGCTGCGTCGGAAGATCTTCAACTTGGCCAGCTAGAATCTCAAGAGTACATGGTGCAGAAAGGCAGCAAGATTCTTCATCTGGCTTCACTCCAGTTGAACATCTTGGATGAATGCGGTTCCCTACGCAAAGAAGTGTCATAACTAACTATATAATTAACGATCCGACACGAAACATGACCATCATGTAAGTGACAAAGCTTTACTGACACTTGGTGGGAATCCGCCGACCCCACACCGTGGGGTGAGGCGTGACTGTCGATGTTAGCCTTAGCCTTAAGCCTTAGCCTTAGCCTTAGACCTTAGACCTAGTCCTTAGTCTTAGACCTAGACCTAGACCTTACCTCCCCTACCCCTCCGGACCCTTGTTGCAGTGACGAAATCCTGCCGGGAAAGCGACCTGGATTGTCCAAGAATCTGCCATCCCAATTGATTTACATCTTGGGGCACCCTCTCGACCCGCGCGGGAAAATAAGCACGGTCCAAAATGGTCCTGGGCTCGAATCCCGGGCTGGTCGCGGCATGGTCCCGGCCAATGCCCTTGCTTTTTCGTAGATTTTGTCACGTTTTCTGTTGGTTTACGAGATTTTCAAAGGCTTTTCTGGCATTTTCCTAGGAATGCTCTAGTCTTTGTCTTTTTGGGTACCTGCTTTGGTGGTGCTGGGTTGGGTCTGCACTCTTAAGGCTAAGGCTAAGGCTTAAGGCTAAGGCTAACATAGAGCAAGGCTAGCGCTAAGGTTCTATCCCTTGGGGGTCGGCGGCTGCAGGCGGTAGCCTGGTAAATAACAATCCTAAGATTGATGCCAGCGAGCCACCTCATCCCGGTTAGCTAGTACAAGTTACATCTGCCACGCAAAATGAGAGTAGTAATGTGTGGGCACTATATAATACTCAAATAACGCAAACCCCGAAAACTGCGAGTGTTAGTGCTTTGTCCCTTGAAATCAAGTCAGAGTGGCGGCATCTTTTGCTTGACCCCCATGCAGTGACAATACTGTGGGCTAGGCTGTTTTCTGATGTTGAAGTCGCAGATCCTGCAGATAGACTGACCATTGACCTGACCAACACAGTAAGCAGCAGAAGCGATTGACCCATAGCAACTCCCCAAAACAGGTTGTCTTCGAAATGGCTCTGTGCGGCCAAGCACCTGAATGCTGCATGCCTTTCCTCCATGATGTTTAAATACCTAAGACAACACACGCTTGCAGTGCATGTAGTCACAGCAGCATGAGGTATTGGGCTATGGCTCCAGTGAAGCCCTTCAGACCCACGCAGCTAATCACAGGCCTTTTTCTTCTCATTCCCCGAACCTCCAATGGGCCCAGCCAATGGTATTTACAATTTTTCTTGTGGTCAGTGTGTTTTCGTGGGGTCACTGTGGCTTTTCTCAGCAACGTTGCTGAGTTGGAAGCATTGAAAAAGAAGCACCGCAGCAGTTCCTGACATGTCCCCTCCTTTTCTGGGGCAATAGGATTTCTGGGGACGCCCGTGCTTGAGACCCCATGAGCTCTGTGCGGAAAACCACTGGCGTTGGGCCATGCCGTACCCCGGTTGCAAACATCCCAGCATTGCAGACATGGAGGAAAAACCAATAAACAAAAGAGCAGAATGGGGGACATGAATCTGCCTCACGAGCCATGAAATCGATTCTGAACATGTTTCGTGGGCTAGGCGCCACGCGAAACAGCACCGCGAAACCAGTGCAGGGCTGGAAAAGCATTCGCGTACATGCACCTCTCACATGAATTTCATCGCTGCTAGGAAACACTCATAAACAAACAATTACCCGCAACATGTCAACGATTAAATTGCAACATGTCTGAGACTAATTCAAGCACCAGCCTCAACCGATGCAAAGTCAGAAAATCATACTCTGACGGGATCTCAAGTTAATCTGATTATCATATCATGGTTGTCCTTGAGTAGATCCCTAGTCAGACTAGTGTCATTAGAGATGCACGCACAACGCACCAAGGTATCATCTTGATAGAATTGGTGCCAAGGGCATTGGACCTGGATGGAGTTGGGTTATGTTGTCCATATTGTTGCACCTGCCACCTATATAAGAGGGCATTCATAATGGACATGGGTGATGGCGCGACTTTTGGATATTGCCTGATGATCTTCCCTGGGAGTTGTTCCTGCGCAGCTGTCATGTCAAGTGTCCAAATCATATAATGTTCACATCTGTTCACATCTCAATAGTAAACCGCGTGCGGCTGCGCGTCAATTGTAAAACCAAAAATATCCCGGCTACCCAAGCCATGCGATAATAAGCTGCTGACAATTAAACAACAAATTTTTCAGTATACAGGTTGAAACTAGAGAGCGGGTCAATTATAACACTTTTTCACCAAAACGCAACCATAAACAAAATACAGTCAACTAATAACTTGTTTGTATCAACAGGGTCAAACTTAAAACGGCCAATTAAATATAAACGACCGGTCAAGTATAGACTATACCAATTCTAGTTAGTTTTAAAAGAAGACTTGCTTATATCAAAAAGGTTGCAACTTCAAAGGGCCAGCCAATTGACGATAAACACCTACAACAGACACACTTTTTTTAAATCAAAACTATGTTCCACCTCTATGGGCTAGGAGCTTACAATCATACACTTGGCATAGTGAGTATTCAAAACACAACAGCCAAAGTCAATTCTTATAGCCAAGTCCAAACTATCAAATTCATCATTATACATAAAAGTGTTGGCAAAGGGTACCCCACTGACATACAATCACTTGAGGCGATGGAGGTGGACGGAAGGTAGAGGTTGGAAGATTCTGGGCAGAAGAAAGCAGCCAGCAGCAGCAGCAAAGCAAAAAGGTAGCACCAGCACCAGCAGCAGCAAACGAGCAGCAGCAGCGGCGCGGCGGCGGCAGCAGCAGCAGCAGCAGCAGCAACAGCAACAGCAACAGCAAAGCAGCAGCTGCAGCACAGCAAAGCAGAAAGCAGTCAGTAGCAGCAGCAGTGGCAGCAGCAGCAGCAGCAAAGCAAAGCACCAAAGCTCACACAAGTTTGGCCTCCACAACCCTTGGTTTTCGTTCAGTTTTGGGGGGGTTACGCAGGCGAAATTGAAAGAGGGTGGGGGCTTGTCATGGTCGAGGGCGGAGAAAGAAAGCACCAACAGTGCCCGCCCCGAAAGCCCCAACTGAGCCGCTGAGGCCGTCGATCCCGTCGACCCCGTCGAGCCCGCTGAGCCCGTCGAGCCCGCTGAGCCCGTCGAGCCCGCTGAGCTTGCGTTTCACAAACATGAGATTCAAGTGTGTATAGTAAAATACAGCCCGCTATATCGACGCCAAGCGTTCAAGGCATGGGGGTCCCCCGCCCCTTACATTAAAAAACCATTTCTAAAACCATCAAAATCAAGCACGGGAACCGTTCACCACCCCCAATACATGATTGCTAAAGCAAAGATAACTCAGGTAGCTGACGCTACCTTTCGTGATAAACTAGACTGTCAAGCAAAAAAAAAAACGCTCAATTCCAACTGTCTCCTAGGTGGCAATAATAAACCGGACGCTTTCCTGTACAATAATAAACTTCCTTCTGGACAATTGCAATATATAATAGACCGAACTTTCTCCTGGATACTCATAACCCCCTATTGCGAGTGGTTTGTTTATTGCGACAAACTAATTCTAGGCCCTCGATGACTAGGGGGGGCAAGTATATTATTGCGATGTGAACATTACTAGACTAGATTATCATACACTACTGTATACCAAGACCATCCAAAACCTAGAAAAATGTAGGGTCTTGAAAAAACTCAGTTTTTGCAACAAACACCGGGTTTCTTAAAAACAATTCACAAAAAAAGACAATACTTTTTTAACGGACAAATTATAGGTTTTGCACGGGATAGATTTAAATACGGGTTCTGAACATGAGAAACCGAGTTTTTAATCACTGAAAAACTGGGTTTTCGTAATCTTGTATG